ACGTGGCCAACAGTTAACTCTGTTTAAATCATTTGGACTGAAGTCACAAATTGCAATAATTTAAATTATTGGGGACCAAATTGAAACTAAAAATTAAAGTGAGACTAAATTGAAACAAAAAAATATCATAAGGGACCAAATAAGGGTTTTAACCAAAAATCTTTCAAACAGTGGTAGTTATAATATCATGAGGTAGATAAGTCTTTAACCTAATAGGTAGAAAACCATGTGATAGTACAAAAAATAAACTTGAAATTTGAATAATAATAATAATAATAATAATAATAATAATAATAATAATGCATCAACTTAAAAAAAATTAAATAATAAAAATAAATTTTTTAAGAAATATTAAATATTGTGTAATAATTTTTTAAAATTATTAAATATTTAAAAATTGACTTTTTTTTATGATGTAAATTAAATTTTCTTATCCAAACTTTGATTTTAAATGAAATAATTCATTTGTTAGGAGAGTTTCAATTTTTTTGAGGTGAAATACTTGTTTGAATGGAAAATTTACAAAAAAAAAAAATTAATCCAAACATTTGTTAAATTCCTTAAAATGGTAGAATTTCAAATTCTCCCAAAAAAAAATAAGAACTTGAAATTCTTCAATTCTTTTCTTATTTCACTTGTATCCTTTATCTTATCTCTTCTTGTTTCTAAATTTGAATATTCAAAAATATTTTTAAAATATTTAAATATCATCTAATATTAATTTTTAAAATTATTAAATATTTTAAAATTGATTAATATCTATTTTTATAAAATTCAATTTAAAAATCTTAACTTATTAATATATATATTTTTAAAGTCAATTTTACCATGGTGAAATCTTGTAATAATCCGACAGGTCATCAAACTTACTACCAAAAAATTAACGTGAAATAGAAACGAAAGCATGCATAAAGTAAAATGTATAGAATATATACAACATATAAAATCCAATACATATACTATATATATCACAACTAGTCAACTACAAAATGTCTTCTATACAGTTAGTTTATGAATCCCAAAATATGACTCCACCAGAATTCATGCAAAAAAACCATCATCTCGATAGCTAATCACCTAATTATGTCCTACTCGCATACTAAGTATGTTCATCATAGTCCCAACCACAAGGAAAAGAAGGGTAAGCTTACGGAAAAAAAAATAACATACAACAATACAACTAAAACAACAAAATCATAAATCGACAATAGCACAGCTCACAGCTTAATTACAACATGCTCAACCACCTATGGGATTAGTCAATCAACTACCCTTCAAATACCATAACCTTCCAATATTAGGTTAGGGATTTTAACCCTCAACTTCATACTTTACTCAATAAGTCATTCAACTAAGATATGGTTTGGCTACTTCCATACCAAAACCACATAGACCTTAGAAGGAAGCAACTTAATATATATATATATATTTATATATATATATATATATATGACCTAATCCACCTTTAACATATATGCATATCAACTTAGACATGTATCTCAACCACATGTCCACAACTTTACCATTTTATACAACATACAACTTTACAACTTTTAACTTTAAATAACTAAATAACTTAACAACTAAACCAACATCAACCTCAGCTTCACAACTTCAATTGTAGCATAACAACTATACAACATACAACTTACAACATAACATCATTAATCCATCTATTAATTTACAATATAGGTGTGCCTACATGAGGGAATATCGATAATTTTGTCACTTTTATCTTCCTTTTTTTTTTGTCCTCATCCCTATGATCCTTACCTATATCCTTTGTAATGCATTTGATAGTCTTCGGATATACCTGTTCGAGTGAGAGAAAGGGGATACCTGCAAAAGGCACTCCAACAAGTTAGTCTTCGGGATCAAACAAACCAATGGCAATTAATGTGATAATAATGCAAAAGTACCTATTAAATAAAAAATCTTATCTTTAAAAGAATGGTCTATCCCTTAAGTTTTAATGTTGACAAACAGAAAATTTTATTTAAACAATAGTCAGCATTCTTCAAAGATAAAACATATCAAACGAAATGTAAAGATAATACATATCATTGATAAGATGAAAGAAATTAGATAAAAACATACAGTCTGAAGAGCTTTGAAAGTCTCGAAGAGCATTAATGAGAAAAAAGACACAAACGCCATGAAAAGCCAAAAGGCATAATCCCATATATCACAGAAAAGAGACTGAAAAGGACTACTTTGCACCAGTCCCAACTGCTTTGTGCTGACACTCTCTATTGCACTAAAAAGTTGAAGGAAATGATGATAAGTAACTGTATGGATTAGATAAGAGGTACATGCATTTTGATAAGCCTTTAATGCTCACATTAAATGCATCAACAGTACTCTATAAGATCAGTTAGGAAGATAGACGAAGCAACATATGAAGAAATATGAACGTTGCTACAATAGTCATATTCACTACAAGAAAATTTTCTATTACAAACGGCCAAAACCTGTGGGAAATGCCAAAAATCCGTGGGTAATAGTGCATTTCTCACGGATTACCGACGGACACTAATCCGTCGGTAAATTGCTCGTCTGAAATATTTATCGACGGATTTTTATCCGTGGGTAACTTTCCGACGGATTTTCCCACGGATTTATCCGTGGGTAATTACCCACGGATATATCCGTGGGAAATTACCCTGAAAGGGATTTTTCGTCGAAAATTATAATTTTTTTTTAATTTTAATAAATTTATTAATGTAACAACCCTCATATTTAGCCTCTCAAGGATTCAATTTCACCCTTTTAGCGTGTTTTATCCTTACTTGTGCAATATTTTGGAAACTTCCTAGAAGGTCACCCATCCCTGTACTACTCCAGGTCAAGCACGCTTAACTGTGAAGTTCTGATGAGTCAGCTACCGAAATGTATATGTATGTTGTCAGTATAACTTGTACAAATTAATTCATTTAAGTCATCCTCAAATATACAATCTCATATTTGTACTATAATAATAATATATAATAATTTTATATTACAAATAATAATAATTAATAATAATAATATATTTAATTATTATTTATTTATATGTACTTACTTTTATAATTAACATCTACTTATTTTTATTTAAAATTATAATTTAAATTATTTAATTTTATAATTTATAATGATAATATAATTTATAAAATTATAAATATTTATTTATTACATACTTATAAATTAAATTTTAATATTTTAAATAAATTATTAATTAATTTAATATATTTATTTACCTTAAATCAAACATATAAAATTCAAAAAATGTATTTATCCTTGTTTTTTTTTTCTAATTATCAACTATTAATAAAATACTAACTTAAAATCTTATCTAATTATATATAATATTCTCATATCAAATTTAAAACCAGATATTAGTTATACAAAAATATTAAGATCATATAGTAAATTGTCAATAAGATTTTAGTTAAATAATTTAAAATAATTAATGTTTCAATTATATTGTTAATTAGCAAATAATTTATTCCAAAACTAATTAATTTTTTATATTAATTATTAGTAAAATTTAGTAACTTTTAATTTAACAATTAATTAGATCGATAAAATTCAACACACGCCATGAGTTACTGAGCGGAATAACTTTACCAAAGAGTTATTTTATAAGTTATCTTAAATCAAACATATAAAATTCAAAAAATGTATTTATCCTTGTTTTATTTTTTAATTATCAACTATTAATAAAATACTAACTTAAAATCTTATCTAATAATATCATAATATTTTCATATCAAATTTAAAACCAGTTCTTACATTTTCGACAAATATAAATTTGTCTGAAATATTTCATCAATAATATAGCTTTTCCTACAAAAATTTTCTCATCGAAAATATAAATTTTTCAACAGATTTAATTTTGTTTTATAAGAAATCATCTTCGATTAATATAACATTTTGTATATATGATTTAAGAGTAAAAGATTTTTAATTTAACGGTTGAATTTACAAAATTCACATTTAATATAAAGTTATACGTCATCTTGTAACTGATTTTGTCTAAAAAATAATAGATAATCATACCCTTAACTGATTTTTATTTTATATATTCTAATTTTATTTGTAATAATATGATTATATATTTAAATAATTTAATTTTAATAATTTTTTAAGTATATTTTTGTCTTTTCACTTAAAATATTTGAATTTCCATATTTTAATTTGAATTATTTTTTAAGTATATTTTTGTCTTTTTGTCTTAAATTTTTGAATTTCTATATTGTAATTTAAATAATTTTTTATTTCTATTATTTATTAATTCTTTTCTTTTTTAATGTTTTATAACATTATTAAAATTTTATAATTTTAATCTCTCTAATTTTATCTTGCTTTTTATTTTAAAAATATAATTTGGATTATTCATTTTATAATTAAATTAATTTTTTTCAATTTTATCTTTCATATTTTTATCCTATTTTATTTTCATATATATCATATTTTATTTTATCCTATTTTATAATACTATTAATTGGACCCTTAAACTTTAATTTTTATTAAGGAAAAAATACTTAAAAACAATTATTTGGAATATGAACATAGAGAAATTAAGATTCAGTAAAGGAAAATAATAAGCATACATGCACTTTCTTTTTTATTTTTATTTTAGTTTCTTTAAAATGATTTTTTCTATTATCACATCTAGCACTTTTATTGTTTTATCTTTTCATTTATTGTTTTTTCTATCTCTTTTATTTTCACCTTAAATTAGGATGAATGAATATCATTACTCGTGACAAAAAGAAATCAACATACTCATCTTTTTCTTATGTTAATCAAGAATATCTCCTAGTTGATAGTAGAGAATACAAGATTAGTTTCTTTTCAAACATAAAGATTATTATCTTTCTTACTTAGAGAAATAAGTTATCTCTAACAAGTGTTTATGCTTTATCTCTTTCAAGTCATAAAAACCTAGCAACAGAATAAACAAATGCACGTTCATCAGAGAAACACTATTCTTCTCTCTTTTTCTCTGAAACTAAATCATGGCTGCTATCACCGATAACAATGACAGTGATGAACAATTTTTTAGATACTTCAACGATCCCAACTACACCAAAAACCTATTGTTGATATCCACAAGTTTCTTTGCAACACTCTTGTTACTCCTCATCGCCCACTACCTCTACCTCAGGTGCACCCGATCCAGCCACCGCCTCACCATCACCCTCACTGCGCTTCCTGACCACGCTAACTTCACCGCTGAACCGTATAATATAGGTCTTGACGCTACTATCATAGCGTCGTTGCCAACTTTCACCGTCAGAGCGAAAACTCTAGAAGCTTCGACTGCTAACGATGATGGTTGTTCGGCGGTGAACTGCGTGGTGTGCTTATGTGCCCTAGGAGGGGGAGAAAAGGTCAAATTGCTTCCCAACTGTAACCATTTTTTTCACATGGATTGCATTGACACGTGGTTGAATTGTCACTCAACATGTCCTTTGTGTCGAGCCGAGGTCAAGCCAAGACTTCGACTCAAACAAGAGGATCGAGAGGGTCCTATTACTCATTCCTTTAATGGCGTAAGTATACATTCAATTAGTAATGATGATAGTAATGGTGAGTCACAAAAAAGTAATAGTTCTGTTTCACAGTTGAGTCCATTTAGAAGGATTCTTAGTGAGAAAAGATCTATTAGAAATATCCAATCCTCTAGCTATGATGATCATGGAGTTGATCATGATTTGGAGAGACAATGAGTTTATATCTAGGTTTAGTTGTTTTTGACGAAATTTTTTTGAATTAGCAACATTACAAGAGTTACAAGAGGGATTAGTCTTCAATCAGTAGTTGATAATGTGTTGCTTAATCATCACCTAGTTGATTGTTAATAGTATTGAAAACTCTTGCTCAGCTAATGTAATAATCGTTTCTTTTGTTTTTTTTGTTGGATAAAAGTTTATATATAATTTTTTTAAGCGTTGATAATTATATTGTTCCCAAAATCAGAATTAAATTTTACTTTGATAATATAGGTATTCTTTTATTATGTAAATTATTAATTAATTAAGGTGAATCCTTTTTTTATTAAGGGAAAAAAAAAAAAAAAAAAAAAAAAAAAAAAAAAAAAAAAAAAAAAAAAAAACAGTGTTATCTAGCTTGTTCTGATTTTACTGTCATGAGCCAAACCCGGTCTCTTTCTTTCTAATTTGTATTCCATATAAACCTGACTTTGCTGACTCAGTTGTAGAAATAAATCTTAGGCCATCTCTGGTGCTTATTTAGGTTCTTAAATTAAATAACCAATCAAGATTATTATTATTATTATTGGAGTGGAGTGACGTGGTATGTAGAATTGGTTTTTCTATAAGAACTGGTAAGAATTGAGTTGTTGTAAAAAATAAAAAATAAAAAACCATTGTAAAACTCACATTAAGTAAATTAAGGGCCTAAGTTAAGTTTTTTTTATTAGAAAAAATAGAAGAAAAAAAAATTAAATCCTAAGTGACATTAAGGGAATCACAAAAAGGTAATTAAGTATCCAAAAGACAGGTAATGTGGGTTTGCAGCAAGCTACGGGGGAATTTTCCTTCATAAATATTAAAGTGTAAACCTTGGTTAATTGGTAATTTATACTAGTTTAAAGGTAAATTACCTATTAACCTACCTTAGGAAGGAAAGGTACTTATGTAGGTTTGTTAAGTATACTGTATATGGGTTTAAGGTACCCCTTGTACCTAAGAAATATAATTATCTTTGCTGTCCAAAAAAAAAATTAAGTATCCAAAAGAGATTCTATTATTAAAAGCTCAAGCCATCTTCAATGAGTGCATGTTTGGATTGGATTTTAAAAATTGATTTTACAATCCTTCTCCCAATTGAAGATGAATTTTACGTAGAAGCAAAATTTTTTTGTTTCGACTAAACGTGAAAATTCACGTTTGCGTTGAAACCCAAACACTGAGTGTTTCTTATTAATGGGTTCTTAGAATAAGAATCAGTTTTTATCTTTTCACTAGTAGAGCATTATGACGTGATTGACATATGGAAGAATTGTTCTCATGAAAATTTTCAATAATCAGTTCTTGTCAATAAAAAAAATGCTTTTATTACTCTCACTTAAATGATTCTAAAAGAAAATTTTAAATATATCAATTAAATATCATAATTTTAATATCTTAAAAATAAATTTATAACAATATACAAAGATGATTCATTATTTTTCGTACAAAAATTTTAAAACATTTTTACTCTTTATTTATTATAATAATGACACTTTCTTTTTTAATGTAAGATAATAATTTATTTATTAATTTAAATAAAATTATTATTTACCAAAAATAAATTTATTCTATCCTATAACTGTTTTGTAACTTTTACAGCTGGTACAATATGCCTTTTTTTCACTTGTATGAAATAATATTAGTTCCCTTCATTTTACATCACTCGTTTTTTCTCACATTTTGTTTTTCTCTTCATTTTATCTCCCTGCTTGTTGTTGTATAAACTTTTATACAGTATTTTTGTACAAAAATAATTTTTTATCAAATGGTTTCCAAAAGCAAAAAGTACTATTTTTGAAAGAGGTTTTGTGACTTTTATTTTAAAGAAAAATCAAATTCAGAATCTAAATTATTTTGTGTTGGTGTAAATTATTTATTATAAATCCAAATTTATAATTTATATTTTAAAACTTATTTATACAAATCGTAAATATAATATCATTTATATACTTAAATATTATATATATATATATATATATATATATCGATTATAAATTTTAATTATATAACAAATATTTAGAATGTATATTGTATATACTAAAGTATTAGTGTATATTTAAATTAAAATAATTATATCTTGAGTAAAAATGTTTTCAGGGTGATTATTTAACGAAAACGTTTCAGTTAACTTTTTTTAATGAGTAATTTTAGAGATTTTTTCAATCTCTCATCTCTTTTAATATTTTTTTAATTTTTCTATATAAAATTCTATATCTTTTAAAATAGTCATCAATAGTATTCAAAAAATAACCTTATATTATAATGTAAAGTTTTGTTATTAATTATAATTATATAAAATAAATATTTCCTCTGAATATCGTACGTGTTAAAATTCTAATTTATTATAAATTTTAAATATAACATAATTTAAAATAATAAGGTATTTATTTTAACATTCAATTTAATATAAATTTTATTTAACATATACATTACTTAAAATACTAATCAATCTTTAAATTTCTACTATTAAGTGTGAACCTTAATTGAAATCAATGGAACGAAAATTTAAGATATTTAATTTATTAAAATTTAAAACACTTATATGTTGTTATTTTCCCTATTTTAAATATAAAAAGATTTCCTTTTTTCTGATTGCATGCATTCGAGGCACTTTTTCCTGTTTCACTGATCATACTCAGGCTCATTCTCTGCTGGCAGCTTTAAACAATCTAATTGGGTGCACAAAATAACAATATCAACCCATTTAAAGAACGCCAAAGCTCAGTGCCTAGCCTAAGGAACATAAGCAATGAAAGGAATATAAACTCATGAACAAGTATAACACAGGGATTTTAAAAACAAAATTAAAGTTAGCAAACATGGTGTTGGATTTTTGTAATTTGATTGAGGGGTATATTTTTCAAAATGAGTGTTATATCTTATTTTGGTTTATCTAGTATTAATTCACACATCACTAGTGGAAAATTAGCATATTATGTCACCCCTTTTACGTCAGAAATACGAAAATCCGACGTAAAAAAAATGCGGTGGTATTTTTGTAATTTTTGCGAACTTTTTTACGTCGGACCCTACCAGGTCCGACGTAAAACAGGACGCAAATTTGAATAAGAGAGCGCGAGGCACACCGCGCGCATTCACTCTTCATCACTTTTCATTTTTTTCTCTCTAAACCCTCTCCCTCTCCTTTGTTACTGGATCGTTTTTTTGTCTTTTGCAGAGGGATGAACTCTTTGTTACTCATTTGCACATTGTTGCTGCTCCTCAGATATGAATCAAGGTTTCGTTAGCACTTTTCTACTTCGCATTGCTACTCTGGCTATCTGTTTTATTTGATTTTTTGGTTGTTCTATTTGTATAGGTAGTGGGCGTTTTCTTTTGGGTTGTTATACGAAGCTGAATAGCTTGTTCTGCAAGCAGGACGGCCCGTTCTCCAAGCAGAACGACCCGTTCTGCTAGCATTTTTATGTTTTTTTTTCCTACTTTTTTACGTCGGATGTCGTAATGTCCGACGTAAATTTACATCGGTTTTGAAGATCCGACGTAAAATTTACGTCTCCCGCTTCTATGTCGGTATGTTTTCTGACGTAAAAAGCTGAAAATATCTGACGTAGTACACCTCTTTTGTACTAGTGCATGTTCACATTAATATAATATTGTTTATTTTGAACTTAATCTCTTACAGATTTACTTTTAATTATTTTTTAAAAAATATCATTTTAATAGAGTATATGTATATACTTATGTTTCTCTTCTTGTTTTAACAATGTATATGAATGGAATTTTCTATTAATTTCTGAGGATGGAATTCCATTCCATCATTTACTTGCATAGAATACTTGTATGTTGTGTTTAGAAAAGATATTTTAGAAATTTAAAAAATTTGAAAATTTAAAATTTAAATTACTTTAATTTAAAAAATTTATTATTTTTTAAATATTTTGTTTAGATGAGTTAAATTAATTTTCTTAAATTTTAAATTATTATTTTGTATATGGTAATTTGATTTTTACCATGGTTACAATTGATTATATATATATATATATATATATATTTTATTTTTTTTTTGAGATTTTAAGATTAAATTTTATAAAAATAAATATTAGCCAAATTTTAAATATTTAATAGTTTTAAAAATTAATATTAGATAATGTTTAATAATTAAAAAATATTTTTGAATATTCAATAAATAAGAAAAAAAATTGTGAGAGAAAGAAAAAGAAAGAAAGTAAAAGCAGAAAAGAGAAAGAGAAAATAAAGTATGAGAGATGGAAAAGAGAGATAACAAGAAATATAAAAGATAGGAAAGATAAAAGATATATATGTGAGATAAGAAATGAAATATAAAGAATTTCAAATTCTTATGTTTTTTTTTGAAGAATTTTAAATTTTACAATTTTAAAGAATTTTACAAATGCCTAGATTTCAAATTCTTTGAAAATTTTCTATCCAAACAAAATATTTTATCTCAAGACATTTGAAATTCATCAAAAAAATATATATTATTTTATTTAAATTCTCTATTTAAATACACTCATAAATATATCTATTGTTTGTGTACTCAATGAGTTTAATAGGTATCTTACATATTCATCTTGTAAGAATATCATTAATTTTATTCACAAATATGTTCATTAGATTAAAATTGTAAAAATATTCTCAAAATTAGAAAAGAAAATAGAATATGATTGATCAGAGTGGAATTAGGCTTAAATTTTTTAAGTAAAGTCTCAAATCAACTATTTGTAGTAAAGAATTGTAATAATATACAAAGGGATTTAAGTCTAAATTTTTATATTGTTATTATGATTTTGATAAATAAAAAAGTGTTAGGCCTTAAATTTGAAACTTGTAGACAAAAAAAAAATAGTTAAGAGAAGTTGAGAAGAGACATCACTAAAAGAAACAAACTAGGTTTTAGTAAGAATATTTTGTATTAATAATATACCAGATCCTCTCCGTCTGTGTCCATTGTTCTTTATGTATATATATTTTTTTAACATTTGTTTTTCTTCTACATATTTAGAATACCTAATAGTGATGAGAGGTTTGAACTTTCACAATACCAAACCAAGCATAAAAAAATTACAGCGTACGTAGTATAACCAAGTCAGCCTTCAAAATGGGTCATACTATTTTATCGTTTCTAATAAATATTTTTAATTTAATGATTCTTTATATTAATAAAATCAAAATAATTTCTCTCTCATTTTAAAGTTACACTTGCTCTAAAGGAGATAAGGGTAAGAATAAGTAAATCTAAGAGTGACTCTAAAAACAAGAGAAATACTGCGTATTCATTCTTTAAAATATTAAAAATAATATATTAGCATTAGCATAAACTTAATATTATAAAATTCTGTTTCTCTTATAAATATAATATAAATCTCTTAACTAAAAAAAATACAATAATAACTTTTGATCTCTACTCTGTTTCTCCATAACATACCCTGGGGCACATAACTAAATTTAAAAGCAGGCCATGCACGTGTAATAACAAATTAATAAAAACACGAATGCATAGTGCATTGCCTTTCATTATTTTTTTCTGTATTTATATTAGATTACGATGACATGGTATTCAGGAATTAACGATTTATGTTCCATAACATAACACTAACAAAGACCATCATATCATAGTATTTCGATCTAGTTGAAAGGAAAAGTTTTTCTTTTTCATTCCCTCATCAAATCAAAAGGGACTATTTTCAGTTCCACACCACCAATCATCCAAAAACAGAAACCATAAGCACCAAATGCCCCATTACACTAAAAGACCAAAACCACCACCATCCCCATGAAACTCTAGTGCCCCCACTGAAATCCACTTGGTCCCAATCCAACAGAAGAAGAAGAAGAAGAAGATGATGTTGATCCAGAAAAACCGCCATTGCTCCCAGACATACTGCATCACCAAAAAAAAAAATGTTCCAACAAAGAATCACTCTAAGAAAAATAAAGTAAATAACAAATCTTAGTTTGATCAATGTCACATTGTTACATGCATATGCATATGCATAACAAATCATGACCAATCATATATGTGTTAGAATCTCAACTATTGATTTGTAAAATAAAATAAAATAAAAAGTAAAGCTGAATATACCCGGGGGGGAACTTGCAATCATCGTGACCTGAAAAAAAAATCCAAAAGAAAAAGGAATTAGACTAATGCAAACAGAATCTAAAGACCCATTTTTGAAATTTTATTGATCCACATTGAGAAAGAGGGGTTTAAGATTTTGACTAACTAGGGTTCAAGGAAGTGACAGCAGCATTATTGTTGAAGTTGCAGCTATCGTCTGACATGCCATGTTTGATGAAATAGTCGTTGAAGGCAAACGACGCCGTATTCAGCACGCTGTTTGGGTCGTAGCAGGGCTCACCGGGCTGGATTGGGCCGCAGTCGGCCCCGCCGGGCCCGCAGGCCCAGTCTAGCGCGGCCTGCAGCGCCGCGTCCTCCGCGTTGTTCTTCGCCACGCACCACAGCTCCTGCGGCGGAGCGCCGCCGTCGGCGCCGCCGCGGAACGGCGAGAGGCCCAGAAGGAGGAGGAGCGAAAAAACGAAGCTTTTGGTTGCGGGCATTGCGGGGAAGTGGTAGGAGAGTGAGGAAGAAGAAGAGAGAGAAATGGGTTGGGTTAGGAGTTAGGACTGAGGAAGAGTTATTGAAAATGTGACCGTTACCGGCGTTTGAGGAGCGAAATCGAAGAGAGACGGAGAAAGAGAATGTTTGATTGTGTGATTGAAACGGTGACGAGTACACTGCAACTTCGTCTCCTTGCTTTCTATTTTCTGCTTCGTTTCCTGCAAGTTTATATAAGATTGGTAACAGTCGTCGTGTTCATGTGCTTTTGTAATATTTTATTTATTATTGTCTTGTAAAATATAATTCGTGATTTTGTAAATTATTTTTTTTTTAAAAAAATATGTAACGGTGAGTGATTATTAAAAATATATTTGATTATGAAGGGAAATTTACATTAAAAAATAAAGATAAGATCGTAACTTTGTAAAAGAGTAATTAAAAAGATTAAAAGATAAGATCGTAACTCGTAAAAGAGTAATTAAAAAGATTAAATTGGACAATAATTGTGTATGCCAAAAAATCTAATTTTTTATTATAGTTATAAATAATGGATTGTACGAGTTTAGTTATTATATAACATGATACTCTTTTATATGGACGGTCAGGATCCAATCTGACGATCTAATGTTGGTCGATTCAAGCATGAGATAATAAGGTCATTATTTTGGATTTTATTTACTTTTAAGTATAATGATGTGTTGGACCAAAATTAATTTAATTAGTCTAAATTGAAAAAAATTGGATTAGTTCGAACTTTTAGATCGTTTTGAATTTTAAAATTAAAAATCCAATCAGTTTAGTTTGAATCTTAGATTTTGATTTTTAGTAATCAAACCAAACAGATCTATTTGATTAATTTAATATATTTATTGATTTCTCATATTTATTTTGTGCTATCAAATTCGTATTACGAGTAAAAGACAAAAAAATGATAAGTAATTTGTAATATTTTGAAACTTTGATATAATATTATAAAAAAATTTATCATTATATTTTTCTTAGAATAATATTTTTTTAAGAAAAATTAGTTACCATATTTAAAATAAATAGATAAATATTAATATTTTATTTATTTATTTATATATATATATATAGATAATATTCAACTATATTATAAATATTTATAATATTTTTTAATAACTTAATTATTATAATTACCTGTGAAACAAATTAGATATATTATAGTATATATATATATATAATAACATATACATATAAAATGAAATGGTTCAATGGCTTGTGTAGTTGTACATAAGAGCTATAAATTACAGGTCACATGTTAATGTCATGGCTCTATATAATTTTATATATTATAGTAATTAAATAAATTTTATTCAGATCATTATCTACAAATACCGGAACATGCATAATGTCCACAAGAAAATTAGAGAAAAGCAACAAGTGTTCATATTATGTTGTTTAATTATTTTATAATGATTATCTCATCTTTAATATTCCATTTAAGTAAACCATATTTTATTAAATTATAAATAATGAAAAATACTCAACTTATTTAGCGTAATTATTTTTATGTTAATATTAACTATAATATAGTTTTATTAAAATATCTTAAACTTGTATTGTTGTTATTTCTTCATGCATTTATAAAGATAAATATTATTCTATAGCCATAAGAATGAAAGTTTGAGTTAATTTGTAGTTGGAGGTTTTATCTTGGGGATTTAAATGAGTAAAAAATTTAAGGTGAAATAACCTTTAGTTATTTGTTATTATAATACTCATTTATCTTGACTAGTCATTATAAATATAATTCAAATTTTTATATTAAGAAGAATTAATATACATTTATTATTATTAAATATTTCTATGCATGTTATATAATGGTTAATATTTATTGGTTAATTGTTCTCACTCCTTATTTTTCTTTGGTTAAAATATTTAATAATTATAATGGAAAATAGATAGATCTACCAACCAAACCAAGCTCTTTCACTTCTGTTATCACTACTGTCTTTCCGTGTACTAGTTGGGCTATGGACGCAACTGCAAATGCTGTAACATTTCAAGGCACAGGAGTATCAACTTTTATTTTTTCACAAACTCAGCAAAACCCTATTGTTATAGACGGTCAAATAGTAGTCATCACTTTTTATTTGCCCCCAGTAAATCATGTTAATCTAATAGTGAACTTGTATCAACCTAACATGTAAATACTGTAATAGAAGTATGAAAAACCATAGTTTGTAAATAAGTACGTTATTGTAAGTAGTTTTGAACAGTTTGTAATGTAATTATAAGTTAACTATATGTAAGCAAGTTTACAAAATTTTCCTTTGTTTTTATGTATAATAATATTAATGATATATATATATATATATA